CTCTGTCAGTGCGCCCCAGGGTGGCTGTGGCTACATGTAGCTTGTGTGTAAAGTGCTTTGGGGTCCTTAGGGACTAGTAAAGCGCTATACAAATACAGACCATTTACCTGTGTCTCACCTGTGTCTCACCTGTGCCTCACCTGTGTCTCAGCTGTGCCTCACCTGTGTCTCAGCTGTGCCTCACCTGTGTCTCAGCTGTGCCTCACCTGTGTCTCACCTGTGTCTCACCTGTGCCTCACCTGTGTCTCACCTGTGCCTCACCTGTGTCTCACCTGTGCCTCACCTGTGTCTCACCTGTGCAGCTGGTCTGGGTGAGTTCAGGATTCGGGATCTGAACGATGAGATCAACAAGCTGCTGAGAGAGAAAGGTCACTGGGAGGTCCGCATCAAAGAGCTCGGAGGACCCGACTATGCAGTAAGAGACATACACAGGAGTTCACGTTTAATCTGAGCCATCAAAGGGTCAGATTAATAGAACTGTTACCATAGTAACCACTGATTTAAAGCCTGCTGTGATGAGTCACGTGACCCTGAATGTTGTAATCTGTGTAACATCGTGCTGCGAGACTTTCATCAAATCCTGACTTGATATTGATAATCTTGATTTATTATCAGTAATCATGGCAAGTTATTGATAATTCCAATTTATTTATCAATCGGCGCAATCGAAGCAGCTGACCGCGTGTTTGTGTCGCAGCGCATCGGGCCAAGGATGTTGGACCACGAAGGAAAGGAGGTGCCTGGAAACCGCGGCTATAAATACTTTGGAGCTGCCAGAGACCTGCCGGGAGTCCGGGAGCTGTTTGAGAAGGAGCGTACGTATTTGCATCACTTCCTGTTTGATGTCACACTGTCACACCATCGGTCCTCACCAAGTATGTAATCTCCCAGCTGCCCCAGCGCCGAGGAAGACAAGGGGGGAGCTGATGAAGGATGTGGATGCAGAGTATTACGGCTACAGAGACGAAGACGACGGCGTCCTTCTTCCTCTGGAGGCGCAGTACGAGAAACAAGGTTCATAATCCCCAGATTATAAAATAATCCAGAGAATATGTGAAAATCCTGGATGATGGAATTATTGGATTATAGTTCAGCAGATTTGAAGCTTCTGTTCATGCGTGTGACACTTCAGGTAACCTCACCTGTGTGTGTGTGTGTGTGTGTGTGTGTGTGTGTGTGTGTGTGTGTGTGTGTG